AACCCGACTGCCCTCTGCATGAGGTGATTTCCTCTCCTTTGTAGGCGGCGGGAGCTGAGGGACTTGCGAGAATTGAATCAGAGGACCCGGGGGTATTTTCCCGGCGGGGACTCTCCGATGCCTAAGTTAGCATTCTGATTACAGAGAGCTTGGAGAGAAATGAGAGAACTAGAGAGCAGGAGTTACCATCCTTTTTTCCTCCCTCTGTCTTTGGGGGTCGGAGTCCTTATATAGTGGTGTCCTCGCGGGTTAGGTGGGTGAAAAGCCTTCAAACGGTAAGACTCGTCACATCCCGTCAGAACCGGGGTACGGTGGTGAACTCCTCGAAGTTGTCAGGCTGGCACTTGTGTCAGGCGGCCAGGTCGGTGCCTTGGCCAGGTTGTCAGGTCGGCGCCTGTGTTAGTCGGCGGGTCGGTGTTTGGGCCAGGTTGTCAGGTAGGAGATCTTCCTGCAATATGCCAAACAATTATGTACCGAGCTACCCTACAAGTGGCGAGCTGCCCGGGGGAGCTATGCCGAGTTGCTTGTGGCGAGCTTTGCCGAGTTGCTTGGCTCCTTGGTGGTGAGCTCCTTGGAGAGCTGCCTAGCTCCTTGGCGAGCTCTTTGGTGAGCTATCGAGCTCCTTGGCGAGCTACCGAGCTCGTGGGGTATGCCGTTATGGTTCATCGGTGGGCGTCTTATGGGTTGCCAAGTCGGCCAGGTCGGATCATGTGCAGGGCTGATCCAGGTCGGCCAGGTCGCACAGGTCGCGCGCCAGGCCGGCTAGGTCGGTGCCCCGGCGGGACACCGACTTGGTAAGTTGTTGCTTGGGTGTCGCCTAGTTGTCACGAGGTGCCACGTGTCGCAATTTCACTGGAGGACCAAATCTACCCTCATCAGATGGGTTGGGCATGGAAATATGGAAAGAAAGAGAATGAGATTCACAGTCTACATCGGTGGTCTGTTAAGAAGGGTGATAAAGAAGAAATGCAAGATGGAAGAGGTCAAGCCTAAGAAGTTTATCAGGAAGTGCGAGAAGGCCAGCACATGTTTCTCAAGGACTGAGTTGGAAAGATTGTCGAGGTGATAGGATCCAAGAGCGTGGTGAAGATGATATCACAAATGAGATGGTTCAAAGGGTCCTTACATTTTGGATCCTTAGTATTTGAACCTTTCAACTTTCTTGGGCTACATGGAGATATTGAGTCTAAAGGTGTGAAGAATGGATTCTTCTTGGTCTTTGGGATTTGGGACTCCAAGCCTTCATGGTGGTGAATCTACATCAAACTTCATGAGGGAGATATCAGTAGAAGCTGAGCTTGAGAAGGAAGCTCGTCCTAAGTCAGAAATGATGAATCAGCTTACTTTGATTTTGTTAGGTAACTTCTTTGATTTTTGGGAAGTAGTTGTATATTGCACTTTGAAAATCAAATATAGTTTTGAAGTTGCAAAATACACTTTTTCTTTCTTTGTAGAAATCTAGAATGGATTCAAAGGAATAAGAGTTTCACCCCATCTCTCCTAAACTTTGTAGGAAAACCTTTATAAACTTTGTATACATTTCCCTACCTTTTCCTTTCTTTTCCTTCAAACCAAACAAGCCATAAGTACACATGGAATCTACATTTTTCATGAAGTTGCTAAAGCAAAATTTATTTCTAATTCGCTGGTTTCTAATTGTAAATTAGCTTCTACTAAATCATTGGAATCCATGGAATGACTTGGATGCCAAATGGTGAGGTCTTAGTAGTACCTTACTTGCTGCTAGGGGTGTCAATCGACCGATTTTGGATTGGATCCAATCTGATCCAAACCTTATTAAATTGGATTTGGACGGTCCACTATAATTATTAGATTGGGCCAATCCAAAATAAATTGGTTCATATTCTTATTGGTCTGAATTGGACCTAAACCAAATTTTCAATAATCCAATCATGAGGTCAAATCCTTGTCCAATTTGAAACCAAACAAAACTGAAGCCAGCATAAAATCACTTTTATGAAAATACTTTTATGAAAACACTATAAAAATAGTTTTATAAAAAGTACGTTTACAAAAATATTTTTTACGAAAGCACTTTTATAAAAGTCTTTATGAAAGTACTTTTACAGAAACTGTTTTATAAAAGGGTATATTTTTGTAATTTTCCGATTTTCTTCATTTTAATATATTTTTGTAATTTTTTATATTTCATTCGGTTTGATTGGATCCAATCCAATCCATTTACATTTTAATGGATTGGATTGGATTTGAACTGAATTGGGTTCAGTTCATTTGTAAGTGGACTCACATTGGATTGGATCGGGTTGGACCAAATCTAGTCCAATTGACACCTCTAGTTGCTGCTAGATTCACTGTTTTCAAGCCAACACAGATAATATTCAGGCGAGGAAGATAGT